TATATATATATATACCAAGCTAGAAATTTTGTTGCTTCTATCCCATAGCCATTCGTTTTCTGTTGTCCCCTGGGTCCTATCCACTGTCATATTGACTCTGATCACATCAGATCTTGACGTCTGTCTTCATTAAAAAAAGATTTGTCGAACACTGCCAGTGGTAGTTCCAACACCCTTCCTAAAAGGACCGATTGATAATGATCAGCGAATCGAGAGATGCATTTAGCCCTTGAATTGTGCGATAGCTTGTAAAAAGAAATCCAAAACAGTATCACCTAACGCTTTTGGCGTACATGAGAAAATATTGAGTTTGTATATGCGATGAGTCATCACTATTCCCCTTTATTGATTCCATACACGTACTGTCTTCAATACCCTTTCCAAGAGCCCTCGAGGGTGACCGGTCTATCCTCAAATATAGAGGAAAGAATCACAGATGCATACGTCGTGGTGAAGGTATCCTGGTCATATGAGGGCCGATGCACACCGTCGCACTACATTGTCGTATATAAGTCCGTTACCGGTCATGAAATATATGAAAAAGTAACAAACAGATACGTAGTATTTCACTGGCCAGAAGTGTGTTATCCGGTTGAAGTGTTCATACAGCCTGAGGCCTCTGGCACACGCGGAGAACCACTGAACCAAACCATCAGCCTGGATGGAGGTAAGTTCTCGCAGCTGGTCAACTGCTCTTAATTTGTGCCATTGTTCCCAGATAACTAGCAAAGTGTTTTTGTATCGCTGCTGCTTCTGGTGTTGGAAGTAATTTTCTATACTACAATTCTGGTTTCAAACTCAAACCCAAGCGTTTCTTCTCCAGTTAGTTACAACGGTTTAAGGATATTCCCAGAAAGCCTACTCAACTTCCTAACAATTTTCATGGACGCACCGAGATTTTGCGCTGCATTTATTGGTCAGATGTATTGATCCACTTGCGATTAATCGGTCGATTCATGCGCTCTTTCTGCCCACTGGTTCACGTGAATTATCTGATCGATAGACGACGAGACGGCAGTTCAGTCTAGGTATCCAGCCGTCAATATAGGCGTACATTCAAAGCCAATACCGTTGTTATAAAACCCTTGATAACTTACTAATTACTGAGGCACTGTGCTGGGCTATCAATGGTTTAGACCTCTACAGTGAATCCAAACATGTGCTGATAACTTGCCCCTAAAACACTGCTCGCTACTTGATGTCTTTCTGGAGACATTTATTTATCCAAACTCAGCATATGACGTACAACCTAAAGCTCAAACCCAGCGCGTCATTAGCGACACAATAAGCTTGGTGTATAACTCGAACAGAGTGATCAAATTAGTAAAATGGATTAGTAAGGTGGGTTACAACCAGCGCTTCTATGTGACAACATAAAATCACCACTACAGTCGATTAAAATAAGCGATAAACCAATACTCTTAAGTATTAGTGAAAATGATATTTGCAGATCCGATTTTTGAAAGCTCCTTCAAACTTGAAAAACAAATTGAGATAGACTGTTGAACTTGTTCCAATCAAGTCACAGCAAACGATAGAACGGATTGGTTGGTAAGATGTAGGCAGATGATCACATGAGACATATTGACAAAGCACACAACGATGGATAGTAGATGAAGCTCACGTACTGCGTGACATTTAAATCTGCATCAATATTGGACAGGACTTGTGACTATCACCCAGACTTTCCGCTATCAGCTATCCAGTAGGCGAAACCGCTTTACTGTACGCGGATCAGCGCTGTGTGAGCTTTATACGAGTTACATACCAGAATGAAAGTCCAAGAATTAAATATTCACAAAAAAGGCTTAGGAAAGACGAAGAAAAAACAAAGACTGTCTACACATCTGCCACCACCTCTGTCCAACCATGCACACGTCGAGACAGACGAGAAATAGGTGTATGCAGTTAGAACTTCTAAGGGCTGCCCGAAGACAAATGATGAATGCCGAAACAGAATCAGGTGACCTAAAGTGGAAAAAAGTTTTTGTCTGAATGACCACGATAGCTCTAATGAACCAACCTAGTTCTGGTAAGGCGCACTAAACCAACGACACTTCCGTCTTCGAGTTTTCAGTAGTGATGATCCAGCAATGGAGTGTGACCCGAATTTTGATACTTGACAAAGTAAATGGTCGATTTTGAGGACCAAACAGATATTCGACTGATATTCTGGATCCTCATCATACAGATCAGTAATATATCGGACTGTGATACACAAGTAGTTGCCACACTGTTTCAGTATTCTGTAGATATAGAGTTGCAGCGCGAGACAGACACTGCTCACTAGCATTTGTCTGAGTGTGAAGGTTGTGCGCGGTTGCCATTAACAGGGTTGCTGCACTCCAAGATTACCCGCAACCGACGATGAAGGCTTATTCAAGTGGTTGCAACCCCATCTTTCTCAGTAGACCATTCAGGATTGAATTCAGACATTCGGGTGTTGAAAAGCAGCACAGACGAAAAAAGCCGCCGTGTCCAATCCTCCTCTTACCGAATGGACCCTCTGCAAACTGAACTACCAAAGACTCTTTATCTCCGGTGGCATAATTGTGGATTCACAGCTGATTCCCCACACCTCAGCCTAATATGCTAATATTTACAGCTTAACAGTCCCAGTAGTAAGCCCGTTGTGTGACCTTCACAAGGGAAGGAGCTTGGGACGATTTTTCTTTTACAGATGAGGGTTCGCTGTTGAGTTCTTGACAGTTTTGGAAACGAGAATTCCAAGTGAACGTGGCAGGAACAGGAAGGCGCATCTGGTGGCGAACACAAACCGCCCTGATAAAGTAAATGTCTATTGGCCTGTCAGATGAAATAATTGTATTGATCCTGGAGCACACAAGTTGTGTAGTTTACCGAACGGCTCTTCACACCATGCGCAAGTGCACTCCAATTTTCCAAAATTACAAAATTGTTAAATGAATGGGAATAGGTCACGGCTAATGATCTCATTACTCGCCGTATTGATCTCAGATCGAATGCTGGACCAAAATCAGCTTGCGATCTAGGTCACACTCGACTTACTGAGATATACTGCTTTTCTTGAAAGGATCTCTGGGAGCGGGGCATCAATATTTGCGTAATAAATTAACGACACGAAATGTACACAAAAAACAGTCACCAAGGACGTGGGGCGAAGCCTCAACTTCCCCCCTACAGGGTGATTGATCCACCGAAAAAATAAGAAACCGCGGAATCGGCCTAGTTTCAAGTGTAACTGCTTGAATTCCCAATTTCTTCAACATGTCTTTGCCTACAGAGTGAATAGAAGGATATTGTCAATGTCACCAGGGTTGCTCTTGCGCTAGTCTCACACTCGACCGGACGGTGATGTACAACCCAGACAAGTACTGCTTGAACCGATCAGTTCAAAATAAATAGGGCAGACATGTTATCAAACACATTGCCGTGTTCCTGCATGAGGCGTAAAAAAACAGACTGTAGCGCTTAAACGGGTAGGATATCTGTTACTGAACACGCGTGGAAGATTTCACTTAACCAGACGGAATAATATGGCTTCCTCAAAGTTTGTGACGGAAAAATGAAACTTGTCAAGTGATTCCGTTATTGCTTACAGGGCATGTGACCAACGTATTGTAAGTAAACTTGCTTTAGGGTCCCTTCATTTGGAGCTTGGGACGATTTTTCTTTTACAGATGAGGGTTCGNAAACCCAGCGCGTCATTAGCGACACAATAAGCTTGGTGTATAACTCGAACAGAGTGATCAAATTAGTAAAATGGATTAGTAAGGTGGGTTACAACCAGCGCTTCTATGTGACAACATAAAATCACCACTACAGTCGATTAAAATAAGCGATAAACCAATACTCTTAAGTATTAGTGAAAATGATATTTGCAGATCCGATTTTTGAAAGCTCCTTCAAACTTGAAAAACAAATTGAGATAGACTGTTGAACTTGTTCCAATCAAGTCACAGCAAACGATAGAACGGATTGGTTGGTAAGATGTAGGCAGATGATCACATGAGACATATTGACAAAGCACACAACGATGGATAGTAGATGAAGCTCACGTACTGCGTGACATTTAAATCTGCATCAATATTGGACAGGACTTGTGACTATCACCCAGACTTTCCGCTATCAGCTATCCAGTAGGCGAAACCGCTTTACTGTACGCGGATCAGCGCTGTGTGAGCTTTATACGAGTTACATACCAGAATGAAAGTCCAAGAATTAAATATTCACAAAAAAGGCTTAGGAAAGACGAAGAAAAAACAAAGACTGTCTACACATCTGCCACCACCTCTGTCCAACCATGCACACGTCGAGACAGACGAGAAATAGGTGTATGCAGTTAGAACTTCTAAGGGCTGCCCGAAGACAAATGATGAATGCCGAAACAGAATCAGGTGACCTAAAGTGGAAAAAAGTTTTTGTCTGAATGACCACGATAGCTCTAATGAACCAACCTAGTTCTGGTAAGGCGCACTAAACCAACGACACTTCCGTCTTCGAGTTTTCAGTAGTGATGATCCAGCAATGGAGTGTGACCCGAATTTTGATACTTGACAAAGTAAATGGTCGATTTTGAGGACCAAACAGATATTCGACTGATATTCTGGATCCTCATCATACAGATCAGTAATATATCGGACTGTGATACACAAGTAGTTGCCACACTGTTTCAGTATTCTGTAGATATAGAGTTGCAGCGCGAGACAGACACTGCTCACTACCATTTGTCTGAGTGTGAAGGTTGTGCGCAGTTGCCGTTAACAGGGTTGCTGCACTCCAAAATTACCCGCAACCGACGATGAAGGCCTATTCAAGTGGTTGCAACCCCGTCTTTCTCAGTAGACCATTCAGGATTGAATTCAGACATTCGGGTGTTGAAAAGCAGCACAGACGAAAAAAGCCGCCGTGTCCAATCCTCCTCTTACCGAATGGACCCTCTGCAAACTGAACTACCAAAGACTCTTTATCTCCGGTGGCATAATTGTGGATTCACAGCTGATTCCCCACACCTCAGCCTAATATGCTAATATTTACAGCTTAACAGTCCCAGTAGTAAGCCCGTTGTGTGACCTTCACAAGGGAAGGAGCTTGGGACGATTTTTCTTTTACAGATGAGGGTTCGCTGTTGAGTTCTATCACAATTCATGACCGAAAATTGAGCACTTCATGTGGATGACCACAAAGTCGGCCCATACGCATCACATACTGCGCTGTAACGGCCAACTAACCTCAGAATCTCTCTTCATGCATGTACGACAAACACACAAGAACCTCTTGAGTTGTCAGTAGCCTATATCAGTCGCAAGATCTATGGATCGTAAAGCACTGCGATTACCTGAACTCTCTCCAGTTTTATGGTAGCAAGAGGACATTTTGAAATTTCGATTTGCAAATGAGGTAAGTCTATACCGAAAGATCACCCGCCAGAATCACTGCANCGAAGAAAGACCGTTATGCACTGATACGACTTTGCTGATGAAACTGAATGAAGATCCACATTGTGTGCACTGTTCTACCATAATTCCACGTTACCGGGCAACGTCCAGTTGCCCGTCTTACGTCGATCAGATTTCGCGGAACGATGCTCTTGATACGACCGAGAGTTTGCTGTGATGTTTAATCCCGTTTTAGGTTTTATCGTCATCTTTGTCGGTGCTCACCACTGTGTCAGGTGCTCACCGACT